TATTTTTACATTTTCACGAAACTTTGTTATCAAAAATCTTAAATCTTTTACAATGCTCGATTTTTCTTTTCTCTTCTAACAAAAAAAGCAAATACCGGTAAATCTTTCTGAACGTGCTGATAGAACATAAATCGTTAAAAATATCATAGCGTTATAACTATTTTATACTGCTGCGAATGCATATAAAGCCGGATTTAACAGCCGGAAAGACGATAAATAATTGTCATGGCAGCAAACACAAGCTCCATGGACACGAAGAGCAAGCGTAACGTCGCGGCATATATGTAACAACATTTCGACCGATTGCTTAAGTAAAATTTATCTTAATGCACCAAAGCTTTCAGCGAGCTCTTAATTGACGCAGAGCGGAAAATGCGCGTAATCGGCCTAAAACGAAATAAACATCTCAGAGTTGGAGAAAGAAAGAGAGGAAGAAAGGGAGTAAGAATAAAAAAAAAACAGCAAATTTGCCGTATGAATTACGTGATTATCGGCTTCGCAACCTTTTTCTGTTCAGTCTGCATTGTGCTACACGCAACGCAGCTTTATGTATAACTGGTGCATTCTAATAAGAGTGCATTTTACATCGAAGCTGAAACAGCTTTCTGCATATTTTCGTTTAAACTCGTCCTGGACAAAAAATGTCGAGCTATCAGCTGTTTTTGAATTATAAATTATTGTTGGCGTCATCCTGCATGCATGTGACAGATTTTCAGGAATTAATTTTTAGAACGAATAAAAATTGATCATAAAACACGATCTCACGTTTAATTTAATTTAAATAGCGATTATAGTCGATGTGATTTTTTTTTTATTCGACTATTAGTTGCGAAAATATTCGACAGGCAAAATGATAGAAAATTTACCAGAAAATACGGAGTCGAAGAGATTTTTATGGAAGGGAAGGTTGACTGCAAATTGGCGGAAGGATGAGAGGAGGAAGTGCATAGCGGAATCCAGTATATATACACACACACACACACACACATATATATATATATATATA